CTCCCTCTCCCTCTCCCTCTCCCTCTCTCTCTCTCTCTCTCTCTCTCTCTCTCTCTCTCTCTCTCATACACACACACACACACACACACACACACACGATTGCATGAGGGGCCACATCCCCATGTCTCCACCTTCTCACCCCATGGCCCCATACTCCCAGGAACCCTATGAGTACATGCCAGTTATTTTGACAGAGACACATTTGACACTAATTCAAGCTTCATGTCTATACCCAGCAACACAAATGACAGGCGTTTTTGCTTTTTGCTCTTGGGCTGGTTCTGTTTGGCTGTCGTGAGGTACACAGATACACACTGGGCTAAGGTTAAAACAGTACAGCTAGCCATAGGCTAGAAAGTCTTCTTCCCATGTTCATCAACTGTGTAGTAAAAACTCAGTTCATTGTCTGTCTTTGACATCCTCCGTTCCTCATCTTCTGTGTGTAATTGTAAACCTTTCTATCAAGGTATGGGAAAGTAACAAAGGATCCCAAACTTCTCCCCAGGGTACCAATCTAACTTCTTTGCAAATTTTGCCCAGCATGATTCGCAGGGTCTGCCCCCAGCACAGTGACTGTCTGGTGGAGGTTTCTGATAAGGCAGAAGACGGGCTAAGATGACCTCAGAGGGGCCTTCCCAACCCAGAACCAGCTGTCAAAATGCTATTTGTGGCCTGAATAAACAAATGCATAATTAGCCCTTTTCTGGAATATGTTCTTCTCGGAGGAGCCATCAAATTACAGAGAAATCTTGTTAATTGTGGGTTCTGCTTCACTGGGTTTTCACTCATCGCATTTTCCCCACTTCCTTTGATTTTTATTTTTCTACCCAACTTCTAAAGTTCCAGTTTGAAAAAAATAAAAACAAAAACAATTGTCAAAGCATGCTCTCCCTCCTCTGCTCCCTAAACCTGCAGCAGGAGCTCACACTTCATGGAAGCATGTGCCCCACTGAGCTCACAGCCTCAAGGGGTCAAGGAGGGCCTTGTCCACCTCACTCTCTAAAGTGACTCTCAATGTAACACAGCTGCTCCACCTGATCTGTGAGTGACAGTGGGACCAGTAGGTGCACATCAGCCACCACTGCACAGCAATGTCCCCACAGCTGCCATTCACATCTGGAACTGTACCGTCCTCCCTAGGTAGAGAAAGGTAAGGACCCTTTAGGAGAAGGAGGGCTTTGGTTGACTGTCGGTTGGCCTACCCCCAGCCATGCCATTGTTCAAGGGAGTTAAAGGAGAGCTCACTGGATGGACGGATGGACGATAAACTTAGGGCAGGCCAGTTCTTTAGTGAAAAGTCCATAACAAGAGATGGTAACTGGGCCCATTCTTGGGAATCTAGACCCATCTTGAAAGAACTTGACCTACTCTCTCTTACCTCTTCCACCAAAATACCAGCAAAGAGCTAGGGTGCAATGAATTTTATCTCCTTTGCTCCAGTGTGTATCCAAGAGACACCCACTTCTGGCTCAGCAATTCCATCTTCCGTAAAGGAGGATGAGAAATGACTTGCCAAGGCCCTGTGACCCAATTGTTATATAAGGAAGGAAGGGAAGTCAGGGCTGGTTCTCAGGGAAATGTCCCAGGGGTCCCCTCCAAGCTGTCCAGCAAGCTGCAAAAGGCAAACCAACACTTATTTCAAGGCCAAAACTATGCATGCCTGGAGTTTACAAGATCCTTCTCAGCCCACCTCACACTCCAAATCGAGCATGCTCTCTGGATACCAAGTCTCACCAGAACTGGACTGGAGCTTCCAAAGTGGTCAGGACCCAAGAACAAAATGGGAAACTATAAAGCCAAGTGTACCAAATAACTCAATCTTCTTTCTCTTCTCCCACCTCTCTCCGGACCATAAGTTTTATCCCCAACAGGGCTCTTCATGTTGGCTGTCACCTTGCGGAAAGTACAGTGAGAGGCAGAGCAAGCCCACCCCCTCCTACTGTCTGCCTTTGTGTTTCCACACAATTTCAGACGAGGTACCCTTCGGGGTCAGATTTTCAGCCCTGTGTTCTTAGAAGGTCAGTTACGCCAGCATCTGCAGGGTGAGGCTCTACCCTGCATCCTTCCAGAACCATCCTTGGCTGGGCTGGGACGACAGGATTGAGCAATTTTCATGCTCAAAGTCATTCTCAGGTCTACCGCTTAGGAAGGGTCATGCGACAGTGTCACCAGCGTTATTGGAGGGGTCCCGCAGAAGCCCTTTGTCCTGTGCAGGTGGCAGCCATTTTCTGCCATGGGCATGGACCTGCTGGCTACCCTTCATGCCAGAGAACTCAATACCGTTGGTCCCCGGTGTGTCCTCTAGGGTCCATTGGTACGGAGACGCTGCCTGAAGACAATGTCTACAAGGTTAATAATGACACAATTACAGGCTTCAACAGCACATGGTTCCTGTCTTAGCATTCGTTACTAACTCAGGAAAAGGAGGGACATTCCTAGCACCAGGTGTGTGTGTGTGTGTGTGTGTGTGTGTGTGTGTGTGTATAATATATATATTCCTGGAAGCTTCTCCCCTCCATTAGGAATCCATGCAAAGCCTCCGCCCCAGGGTGAAACCCACCCATGTGGTTTCCTCAGAAGTAACACCCCCTCCCTCCTTTTTCTAAGTTGTGCCCTTGTGTGATTTTTCTGCGTTTGAGGCCTCCACTCCACCCCACCCACACACTTGAGTCCCAGCCCTTCAGGGTCCGGTCTTGCAGCTCTTCTGAGCCTTATCAGTAGCCTGCTGTAAAGAAGAGCTCTGGCTGCCCTCTTGCCCAACACCCACACCCCCTCCCGGTGCAGAGCACAGGTGCACAACAGGGCGCGACTTTCCTCTGTATGGTGCTGTACCAGAATGGGTCTTGAGCTACAGTTACAGTTTGGGCCCCCACAACAACCCGTTGCCCTGAAGGGAGGCGAGCTGGGCCAAGGGTACATACTTCCCTGAGAGCAAGGCAGGTGCTCAGTAAACATTCACAGGTATTGTAGTCCTCACAAGCACCCTGTGCAGCGGGAACTGCGCAGATCTCCAGCGTGAGAGTGTGAAAACTGAGACATGGACGCAGAGGGGTTAAATCCACCACCCACCTGTGAATGGCAGAGCTTGGTCCCAGGTGTGTAAAATGCCAGCCCCAAGCAGCTTTTGCCACCCCACGCTGCTCTAGGAGTGGAAGAGGGAACAAAAAGAAGGGTGTTCTTGCCTCTCTTCCAGGGCACCGGAGGTCCAGGATCTTGGGTCATTGTGTATGATCTCCCCAAGCAAATGACAGGGCTCCACCTGACCCCCTTGTGATGATCCCATCACCAGCCCCACCTACCACAGGGAGATATATCCCTGCACGCTTCTCCAATCTGAGATGTACCCACCCTCCAACACCCAGGTGCTTTGCTCTGAGGATTTCCTGGGCCCATGCTAATGGCACACTCAGCCCCTCCAGGCACATGCACTTGAATACCGAACAAAGCAATGCAAACCAGGATTTGTGTTTTCAAAGATTTGCATTGGAATATCCCAAGACTACAGCAGTCAGATAACTTGTGTTTGGGCCTGCTTTATTCTGGGACCTTCCTCCCCCTCTGTGAGCGCTTTCGGACTCTCCACTCCTAAGGCTGACGCATACAAAATTTGCTTTTTAGTGTGTTCACCCATGAGAAGCAAACACAGAGGAACACAGAGAAGGGACATTGTTAAATCCACAGGGGAGCAAAACAGGCAGGAAGGACTTTGAAGGGAGGACCAATATGGTCCATCTCTACCTTCTTGCTGCTGAGCAACAGGGAGACCCTCCCAAGAGGGCAAGCAAAGGTCGCACAGCCATAGCAGGTACATCTCGTGGGTCAGAAGGGAAAAGACTAGGCTCTAGAACATGCCAGAGCAAACATCTCAAAGACAGAGATAGCAAATGTAGCCCTTGACGGCCAGGGCAGTGACATGACAGTAAGTCATCCTTCTATGGTATCGAATGAGGAGAGAGTGCAGTGGTCATCACCACTCGTGAGGTTGCTGCTAGGTGCCAAGGTGGCCCAACAGGTTTGCAGGCAAGGAACCCTACAAGGACCATGTCTCCGTGCCTTCTGTCTAGGTATAGCTGGGCCATTCCCACAGGTCTTTAAGGGAAAGGGTGCTGACACTCGGCCCTCATGGAAGAGGTCCCCAGGAGAGGTGAGAAATCCGAAGCCTGCTTGGGCTTTACAGTGAGAGCCAGCATCCATGGACGCCTCTCCTGAAGATGCAGTTAGGTCCCCTAACAGAGGAAAACAATATTTAATGTGACTTATTTATTCACAACAAAAGCAGTAACCACAAAGGTCCCCAGAGAGACAAACAGGAAATGCATAAATCAGGGCCAAACAACATCAACTACATCATTTTCTTGTCAACAGTTCCTCAACCTGAGGGAACAAGCAGACGACAGCAGATCAGACGAGCATTCTATAAGACTAGGGACCTGGGGGCCTCAAAAATATCGATTATCAAGAGACACAAACACAGAGAGGGAGGTGCCCTCAATTGGGGGGCTAGGAAACAACAAGACAAGCGAGTGGGGGGGTGATCTTGGATGGCATCTTAGATAGACAGACAAGCTCAATAGGACATTTTGGGGGCACTTGGAAGTCTTTATACAGAGTGTATTATTATAGTAGATGTTTTTATGCTAAGTTTCTTAGGTGTGACAACGGCGAAAAGAGAGTGCACTTTTCGCAGGAGATATACAATGTTATCTTTGGCTGCACTGCCTAAAAGCTGTAGACATCATGACACCTTATCTTCCAACCATCTCGGTGCTGAGGTGGGGGTACTGAGGCTGGGGTTGTGGGTGAGAGGTATAGGAAAACCCAGGGTGCTGTTCTCTCTTATCAACTTTTCTGTCACCTTGGATATTTGTTTCAAAGTTGGTGTCAGGGGAATCATAATCATAGACTTCTGTTTTCCTGCAGCAGCAACCTCTACCAGCATGTGGTCAAGATGGGACCACAGAAAGTCAATACAAGCCCCCTACTGTAGAGAACCCATAATGCATTACACCGTGGTCCACACAATGACCAATGCTCTATGCCAACACTTGTGTTTCTTTGCCTTCCCAGCTCTCTATCTCCTGCCATGATTTTGGCTGGGCTTTTTGATCACTCAGTCTTCAAATGTGAGCAGCTCATCCAAGCCCAAAGGTCCTTTTGTGGGTCAAGCTTATCTTCTGCTAAGGGTCCCGAGATCACCACAATCACTGTACCATCATGTTATAGAGAAGGCTAAGGGGGCTCAAGGAGTGAGCCAACTGGAGACCAGTGAGGCAAGACAGAAGGACCATTCCCTGCCCTACCACCCTTTCCTCACCCAGGATGCCTCCTGGGTCCTGAAAAGACCTCAACTCTGGAGGAAAATACAGCTCAGATGGTGTGAAGATCATAACCACTTTCAGAACTAAGCCACAGTTAACAGACTCTGGCAAGCTTGGAGCTGGGAGAATGGACACATTCTAGCATATGCCTCAGTTCTCATACCACTCATACACTCTCACTGAGTCTCTACCTAGGGCACATCATTGTAGAAAGAACATGTGGAAGCAAGGCTGGGAGCTTCCATGCTGGGTGATCATTCTCTGATCTCTTTCTCTCCGAGCGCACAGACAAGGGAGATCTCCAAGGAGCCCTGGTCTCTCTCTAGATTCCAGATGGAATAGATTGGCACTGGGACTCAAGGGCCACACAGCTTTTATATCGAGATGAAATAGATAAAAATGACCTATCTCAGCTTATCCACTTACTCTCCAGATGTCTTCTCCATCAGGTGCACCCGTCTACTATGGCCATGCTGAATACTAGTGCTCCTGTCAATCAACCACCCAACCATGGCTCTCACAGCCTTCCAAAGCGAGTGATAGATTGCATTTGGAGCATGCAATTTCTGATCTTGGAGGCTGCTCCCTTGGCCTCCACTGGAGTGGGGCAGCCATAAAGCACAGAGCTGGTTCCAGTTTGGGACCTAACGAGAATCTCAAAACCTAAAGAGTGAGGTTCAACAGGCTGATGGGTGAGACAGCACTTTCTTCCTGGAATGGGTACCTTTAAGGGTCAAAATGGGATGGATACTAGAAATCAGCGAGCCTTGAGCTCTGGGTTACTCCATAGCTTTGTCTACCTCTTCCTGTCCTGAATGAAGTAAAGATGGAGATCACTTAGTGAAGAGTTCAAGTGAGTCAGATATCTTATTAAGTGTGTACAAGGCAAGCTGGCTTCCAGGAACTGGGCAGCAAGTCAGCCTTCAAGCTCCTGAAGCTGAATTCCTTATGCAAACCACCTGGCATGAGGTCATCTTTCTTGCTGTTGAAGGGGTTTGGTTAAAGGGAGGAAACAGTACAACAATCACTTGGCTGAAATAAGATGCCAAGTGTGTGAGAGAGGGAGAGAGGCCTTGGCCAGAGATACAACCCAGCCCAGTAACAGGGGATCTTTGGAATACTGTGCAAAACAGCAGCAAAGCAGCCAGGACAAGAGCAAAAGGAAGCATGAAGACCTACGTTCTGACACATGACCTTAGATATGTTGACCCTCCGGAACCTCAGTCTTCTCTTCTGAAAAGGAAGGAGTCAGTGGAGCTCCCCCTCTTGGAGGTCCTCCGCCTCTTCTGGTGGGCTCTTCATGGGAGTGACCCATTCCCCTCTTGTAAAGAGGAAAGTCCTTCAGAACTTGACTTCTCCCTGCCCTCACCCCATGAGAGCACATCACTGGATGTGCCCACAGAACAGTCTCATCAGGTCCCATGCTAAGAACCAAATGGGTCCTTGGAGAAGATCCACTCACAGGGAGATAGGCCAAGTTTCATTACCTCCCTCCACACTCTTATTGGAAGAGACAGCTTGGTACCCTTTCTTCCAAAGATGAACTGGCAATAAAGCCAAAAACATGGTGGGGGAGCATGTTACAAGAACAAATTTTCTCTACAAGTCTTTACCTTCCAGAAAGTGAGGAGGGGTCAGCTCTATGGGAATGTGGAAAGTGGTGTCAGTATTTCTCTAGGAAGAGGGGGTCTCCCTGTCATTAAATCTTTGCCACAAAATGGTCACTATGTGACCACTTTGCACAAATACATAAGTGGGAAACCAGCTCTGAAGACAGGTTGAGCCTATGTCCCTCTGACTTGACTCCTGGGCCTCACAACTGGCCCTATGGAGACACAGAGCAGGGTCCCTCCTCCACTGGAGGGCTGAGTCAGGGCACACTGGTGTCAGGAAGTCCACCTTATGGACCTTCTGGGGTAGGGAATGAGAGTAGATCCTTGGTTTTCTCAGTGCCCCAGCACCATATACAGAGGTGATTACACATACCTCCCCCCCCCCCCCGTTTGAGGGCAAATCTTACAACAGTTTCCAGGGGATTCCTACTTGTGTTCCAGGAAGCCTCCTCGGAGCATAAAGTACTCTGCATAGAGGCCTTGGGGCTGTCACCCCTGGGACCCAAAAGAGCCAACAATCACAGAGCAAAAACATTCAAGAGGGCTTGTTTCTATTCTCTCTTGAGCCCTGCACAGGGCATTCCATATTACAAAATCTCAAGCAAGTGAACTGATAAAGACCTTGAAGTCTATGTATGTCAACTTTGGCCAAGAGAGTCTAAGGTTCACAGACTCCTCTTGAAGGTCCCGTGTCCTAGTATCATTAAATGCATGCATCGACTTTCCAGAGGAGTCTTGGATGCTCCTGGTTTCAGCCCAATGGCACACATGCTTGGAACTGGTGGCATTTGGATGCTGTGTCCTTTAAGGAATCTTGAAGACCAGTAAGTGCGTTCCTTGTGCATGCGTAGTGTAGCCAAAGCCCATTTCCATCCAAAAGCCAGGAACTTCCAGTGTACAAATGAGGAGAGGGAGAATGGGTGAATGGGTGACTTTTAGAGATGACAGGTTTGGCAATGAGAGAAACTGGAGTCCTCAGTGAGTGCGAAGGCTGAGCTGCCCTCGGACCCCTGTGGTTGAAAGGGCCTACATACGACGTGCCATATTCTCTAGCCTAAACTGTCCCCTAAGGGGTCATCCTTTATTGAGAGTGGGGAAGAGTTTCTCCACTACCTAGACAAAAGCATCCCCTGAGATTGACAATTTCCCAGTAGGCCAAGATATAGCCCCTAAACTCTTCCTGAGACCAATGTGAACGTGCCCCTATTCACAGATAAAATGCATTTAGAGACTCTTTCCTGAAATATCTAAATATCTATCTATATTTAAACAAGGAATGCCCTGTCACTTTCTGATAAGGAAAAGAAACCACGTTATCATTCTGATACTCATTCTCATCCAAGCATTCCAGAACTATCCACGCAGGTAGAGGCTTCGGAGTCGTCATCGTCATAGTCATCATCGTGAGAAAGAGGGAAATAATGAAATAGCTACTCTCGGGTCCCAACAGTTCTCCTGTCTACGCTGACAACTCCAGCTGCAGGGGAAACTGTTGGAACTTTGAGATGCCGAAACTAAGTGTCTTGAGTTAGGTGGACACTGGCGGCTTCTGACTACCCTTTGCAACGCTTGCTTTCTTGTGTCAGTGATGCACACCAGTTCCACACAGTGCGTGCTTCTTAAGATTTAATTTTTAAACTGGAGAGCTAACCTGACCGCTTGTGGTCCTGCCCACCTGCACCCTGATGAGTAACGGATGAGATTCAGATGCTAGCCATTTGAAGCTATGGCCATGGGTCCAAAGTGCTTTTCTGGGATGTGCTCAATTTGGCAAGGTGATCAACCTCGCAAGGTTTAGTTTGTTTGGAAGCAGCAGCCTCGAGGAGACCGTTAAGGGAAGTGTATGAGTGAGGAGGGAAGTGAACACCTGATACTTCCACCTTGTCGCACAACACACCTACACACAGAAGCACACACACACACTCATTTTGCACACGCGTACATACAGGCCACCCAGTCCTCGGGGAAGAAGAGAGGAGTTAGGTGTGGGAGACATGACTACAGGTAGGCAGTCAAAGGCTTTGGGCTGGGCATCCTCTCAGCTCTGTCTTGGTGCTCTTGTTCTCACACCTGTCCTAGGAAAGCCACCCTGGGTAGAGGAGGCAGGGTGGGGAGGAATGTAAGGCATAACTCTGCTGGGGGAGAAAGGAAGGAATCCATGCCTCGTGGGCAGGAGCAAGTTTTAGAGAGGACTGGGCCTCTATTTTCCCTTTGGACAGCTCTGGCTGGAAAGGTGGGGAAGAAATGAAACCAGGAAAGGACACGGAAGAAAGGAATGATGATGACCGTAATCACAAAAAGAGAGAGAATAATAGTAAACAAACAAGGAGGGAAAGAGGAGTTGGGCCAATGGAACTTACATCAGCATGACAAATGTCTCTTCTGTCTACTTCCCTCCCACACTTAGATGGACTTGCGTCGGAGGGCCAGCCTGTGGTTCTCCCCGCAGGTGTGAATCCCATGAGGGATGGGGCCGAATGGGGTCCGGAAAAAGCTGTTCTTCAGTGTGTTTGGGGATATCTCTTGAACCCTGCAGGAAATGGAGTGGACAGTAGCCCGGACGCGCCTGCTACCCACACCGGCAGCAGCGGCTGCAGCGGCAGCGGCAACAGCAACATCATCAGGAATGTCGTCATCACCATCGTCCTGGGCAAGAGCCCCACGCGGGAAACAAAGATAGCACAGGGTTCTGCCGTATCTTTTCAGGAAGTTCCGGGGTTGGTACCTATGGCGGACGTCTGGCACATGGATGATCACGCTGTTGGGGTTTCCAGCAATGATCTGCGCAACTTCACTCTCCAGCAGCTCCTCATCGGTATTCATGGTCAGGAATCGCAGGACCACGAGATTGAGGAAGGCACCGATGACGGTCAGTCCCACCAGGATATACATGAAGCTGAAGGCCACGTAGAATGGCTTCCTCTGCAGGGCACCTTTGGACTGCAGGGCCACAAAGTCTCCGAAGCCTATAGTAGTCAGTGTTATGAAGCAGTAGTAGTAGGCATGGAAGAAGCTCCAGTCCTCGCACTGGGAGAAGGCAGCTGCCCCAAGGCACAGGGTGCCCATGCAGGAGAAGAATCCAACGGTCACCATGTTTTCCATGGAAACATCAGTGTTACACATGCCACAACACTTCTTGATACGCTTCAGCAGGCAGCGCACGAAGGTGTTCATGCGCTCACCCAGACTCTGGAACATGACTAGCGTCAGAGGGATGCCCAACACAGCATAGAACATACAGAAGGCCTTGCCAGCATCGGTGCCAGGTGCAGCATGTCCGTATCCTACGGGAAGGAAAAGAGGAGTGAGAACGGTAGTCAGGAAAGGTTCTGTGAGGTCCGGGAGAAAGATGGAAATTGTCAAGCAAGATTGGAGCACAGAAAGACAAAGGACCAGTTCACAAGCCCCATGAGCCCTGCAGTAGAAGGGATGGGGTGGGGGACGTCAACACAAAGGGCTTCAGCATACAGATGAAGTACCTCTAATCTCAACGTGTAAAATCAAAAAAATCCGACAAAACCCAAAACTTTTCATTTTGTTTTGTGGCAGTGTTTCAGGCAGTCTAAGCTAACCTCGGACTCAATATGTACCTGAGGTTGGCCCTGAACTCCTGATTCTCCTACCTCTACCCTCCTAATGCCAGAATTGCAGGCATGTGCTGTCAAGGCTTTTGGAGGATCAGCACGAGGCCACGAGTAGAAGATTCCACGCATCGAAACTTTGTGCTCAACCTAGAAATCGCCTTATTAGCTGCTTGCATTTGCGCTGGAGTTGCTGCCCTAAAACAGCTCATTATAATGATACAGATATCCCCAAATCTGAGAAGATCCCAAACCCCAAGCACAAAAATGGGTGGCAGCATTTTGGATATGGAATGCCTATTAGCCTTAATTACATTACCACCTAGGAGGCAAAGAAGTCTCATTTGAAAAGCATCCCTTGTAATGGTTTGATATCTAAGAGGCGGGGGCTGTGGTTTGAAACCAGGGAGGCTGAGGCATGTCAATGTTCTTAGGGCAACACACATCTTTACTACTAGGAAAATTACCAAAGTACAAAAACACAAGATAGAAAATGCAATACCGCTACCATGGATCCACATATAGAGGAAATACTTGAAAGAACAGTCACTGTGTGCCAGCAGGAGGCTGACTCCTCACGCACCATCTCTGCCTAACCGTATAATGACCCTAATCAAATGGGGTAATGATCCCAAGCCCACAAACTAGAAAGCAGGGTAACTAACAAGACATCTTCAGAGCTGGGGTTCCAGCCACCTATGTTGAGAGAATGAGGGGGGAAACACATGTTTAAACTGGGAGAAGTCATGGCAGGGCTGGAAGAACTTGCTTTGGTTCACTGTGTTCAGTGCTTTATCTCCATGCCTAGGCCGGTGCCTCAAAGGTACAATGCTGGTCTAGTAATAGAATGTAACCTTGTATCAAAAGTAACCTTGATAGAGAGACAACACACAGCCCTGGAAGACCTCAGTGCCTGTTGGTTCTGTTTCAAGTTCTTAAATGAATATGCCCAGGGATGGGGGTGTGGGGCACATCACAGACGGTGTTTGGACTGAGAATTTGAAAGCCAGGAACTCATCTTCAAAGCCTACCCCATCAAGAAAGGTGGGAAGTCTGTTTTCCTGAGTTATACGCTCATCATGGTCATGATACCACCTGAATTATGTTATACCCCAGAGAGTCTCTGTCATCTCATCCGCCGTGTGGACTGATGATGCTTCAAGGTAGACTGTTGGGCAGATCTCCTGAGATCAGAAACACAATGGGAACCAACCAAGCTCGAGTCTCCCCACCCCAATTTCTATTCTAACCTCACTCATCTACTACACTTATGGTCTCTTTAGAAGACCGATCTCATCCTCTCTGACCCCCAGACCCTCTACCTTAGCCAGCACTGAACTCTGCTGTCCTAGTTGACCCCCACCTATTACAAAGGAAAATAAATGGCATTACACAAAGTTGGAACCAGGCTAGAGAGGTTAAGAGTGGGGAGACAGAAAAGCAGAGACGGACTACAATGTATATCTGGCCCCTTGTGCTTCTGGTTCCTACTTCCGCCCACAATGCAGCTAGTCTCACATTCATCCTCCCACAAGCTCCGGAAATTGTCTAGACCTTACTTCCCTCTTCTGTAAAGAGGACATGAAGAGACACATCTCTTCTTTCAGTCACATGGCGTTGTATAGTTTGCTTTCCTGAATTTAGTCTTTCCTCTAGAAGAGGGGAGGTATCAGTGTCCGTGGTTACCACATACCAACACGTTGCTTATTCCCTGGGCCCTCTGTGAAAGTGTATACCCTTCGATGTGCTTCTCCGATGCCCCAGAGGAACGCGGTTTCCTGGTCAGTTTCCTTTAACTTGTATTTTAAAGGAGCAAATGAACCCCAAATACATTTTGTAACATATAAGTGGGCAAAACATGAATTTCTCCTGGATAGTGGGCAAAGGAAGGGGCTGCGATGGCTTCCATCCATAAAAGGCCCACAAAACCCTGACTCTTAGGGCAATGCGGTGCCGCTGAAGCCCCTGTGAATGCCCAGACTGTGATGCGAAAACCCCAAGCTACACATGAAGTTACCTGGGACAGGACACGCCCCAGCCCGAAGTATCTCAGGCTTGGATTCACAGCTTCCCCATGCTTTTAAGGACGCCTGAGCCCCCTATCCTCCTCCACACAAGCTTACTTTTTAGAAACAGCTCTGGAAATGCTGTCCATGAAGAGTCCACGGGGTGGCAGGGTGGTGGAAGGCTTGTTTGGCCTGTGCGGTCCTCGGCCTACCACCAGAGGTACAAGGGTGCCCTCTGCCGGTTGATCTGCCACTGCAAAACATGAACGCAAGCACCGGTCCCACCTGACCAGGTTCCCTCCTGGGGTATGTCCAAGAATGACAGGGGAAACTCACTAAACTCTTTCACTGGAAAAACTTACGTTACAAGGTGGATTTTTTTCTCTCAGAAAGTACCATCAATACACAGCATTTTGGTACATATAAAATATAAGACCAGTAATGACCAGTATTTATTGAGAGCACGTGGTACCGGAAGCTGAGCTAAAACCTTTTTACACTCAATAACTTATCTCCTGGAGAAAACTGGGTGCAAACAAACCCCAAATACATTTTTAACCTTTCCATGTAATCAGTATTCTCCCCGGCATGGATGGGGCGGTACCCATGTTGATGGGTATTTAGCATAGTGATTTTCTAAGTTCCCATGTCAAACCAATCAGGTCCTTGACCCTAAGCCCCTGCAGTCAGTCACACCCACGGTACAAATGAAGTAACCTGTACTTGGTCGGGAAATGGAAAATCCGGGAACTCCTATTGATCCTCCACACACAACCTCCTTCACTTCCTGCCATTCTTTCCTGGACTGTCCACCATCCAAAAATCTCTACAAGAAAATGTGGGAAGACAAATAAAAGGCTTTTAGGGGGGGAGGGATAAAATTTGGCTGATGTTTGTGGAGTCTGTGATAGAATAAGAAAAGTCAGTACTGGTTGGCTGTCGCTAAGCCTTAGGTTGGCATGGTTCAGCAAGAGGAAGTGCGCTGTTTCCCTCCCTAGGCTAATAGGGTCAGGCTCAAAAGGCTTTGGCTCAGTTATAGTGAAGCAAGACTTATGGGTGATCAGCGGTAGAGGAGCCCTGCCCTTGCCACAAGGAAAGCCTGATCCATGTGAGGGACAGCCTTCGTTTCATGTGCTCTCTGGCCTCTGACCGCTCTGCAGCAGTCCATTCTAGAAGCTAGCCTATATTATCCATCCTGATATCAGTTCTGCTGGGTTGTCCCTCTCCCCAGAGCCACAAGAGCACTCAATTTCCCAGTGTCTGAATGAGGACTTAAGTTCAGTGTCCCTTGTGGGCTCTGGTGAGGCAGCGGGTTGGATGGATTCCAAGGAGCCAACAAGGTCCCCAAAAAGACAAGCATCTACCTAGTTAAGCTTCTTGGCCGAAGCTTCACAGTGAGAGAACCATAGTCAAGTGGAGCATTGTCCTTGATGTCCTCTCTAAAAAAGCAAGGATGACAGTTGGTGGGGTGGACACTTGTGCATCTGTCACAGCCAGTTCCCATCAAGCAGCATTGTGAGACACCACGAGCAAAGGGTATAAGCAGGCGTTGCCAGGGGGTGCATGAGAGCCATAATTAACTAAAGATGGATGACCTAGTCCTAGTGGTTCTCCCGATCTCAGCTGAATGGCCTGGGAAAGCCACCTGACCATACAGGATGGAGACACCAAACCCCAAATAAGAAAAGAAGTGAAACTATCCCCACCTACCTAATCCTGATTATCTCCTAGACTTCCGGTCAATTCTTTTTAGTTTCCATTCTGATTTTTAGACTTTCCCCCTTTGAGAGATGCTGGTGACAGGAATAATGATTTCTCACTGGAGAAATTCACATAATAGAAAGAAGCAAGAGAAAACAGAAGAAAGATGATAATTCAGAAACATCCACTCTCCATTTTTGCACTTGGACCATGAACCTTTATGTTCCCCGAATCCTATTCTGAAACGCATTTTCCATGGCCGAGAGAGAACTGCACATAGGCAATTATAAGAAAATACTAATGCTAGTCTATTGCCAATAGCGTTCTTCATAAGCATCATTTTTAATTCATCAACTTCAAGTAGAGGCGCCACAATTTCTTCACCTAAATAGACTAAGTGGGGAATGTGTTGGACTCTAATTTGCTTCTGTTGCTTGCTAACAGCCATTTGTATTTTTGCCCAAAGTGCACTGTTCCTGGCCTGGGAGGTTTTACTCCCAAAGCAAAGATGAGAAGTCAAGGAGGAGTCAGCAATTGGGCTGGACTAGATCCTAATATCAGTGAGACCTGTTCTCCAGTGGCATGCCCACAGTTGTAGATGGCCACTTTTCTTCCTAGAGGAAGAAGTACTTGGCGAGGTCAAGTATTTGCCAGCTCCAATAAATTATAAGCAGTAACAATATAAAAGGGTCACCCTGAGTTCTCTGACCCCAAAGCTTCAAATTCTTCTCAAGGCAGTATGTATATGGGTGGGTGGATGCAACCAGGTCTGGAATCTGCAGGGGGATAGATGCAACCAGGGCTAGAATCTGCAGGAGGATGGATGCAACCAGGGCTAGAATCTGCAGGAGGATGGATGCAACCAGGGCTAGAATCTGCAGGGGGATGGATGCAACCAGGACTAGAATCTGCAGGGGGATGGATGCAACCAGGACTAGAATCTGCAGGGGGATGGATGCAACCAGGACTAGAATCTGCAGGGGGATGGATGCAACT